TGTAGTCCCAGCTACTCAGGAAGCTGAGGCAGGAGAATTGTGGAGGTTTCGAGGTTGCAGTGAGCCAAGATTGCACCACGGTGCTCCCAGCCTGGGCGACAGAGCAAGATTCCATCTCCAAAAAAAAAAAAATGAACTAAGGATGAAAGCTTAAGGGGAACAAAGTGTAGGCAAGTAGGAAGTAGGAAGAGGCTGCATCTAGAATTAAGACATCCAATTAGAATATTCAGCTATCCAGGTCTGAGGTAGGAATGGAGGTTGTGGTGGACTGTTGGAACCTGTTATTCATCAGGGTCTTCCAGCTGGTTATTTGGGTTTAATCCCCCAGCAGGAATACTGTGGTTGAGTTGCCATATTCTGAGTGCAGGGCCTATAATATTTTTTTAGCAGATTTGATTTGGTGGAAAAAACAGCTTAAATGGAAGCTAGTTTGGACCAGAGACTGATTCTTTGAAGTGACATTGATCTGCAAATGAAGATCTTTGTAATCTTCAAAGCTTAAGTAAAGAGTCTAGAAATATTGATGAGAGAAGACAGGTAAATCAGATAAACATTGTGGGTTAGAGCACTGAGTGATTCCATATTTAAAGAAGGAATAACATTAGATAAACCAATCAACGATATTGATAGGAAAATAATGACTTGTTTAAAATGAAATTTTAAATTTTAGATTTTTTTTCATGATTCTAAAAGTAATACATGCTTCTCTAACAATATACTTTATTTTCAGGTACAAAAGTTGCAAGAAACAGCTGAAATAGTAAAAAACAGATGTGAAAATTTGCTACGTAAAAATAACCAAATAACAAAAACCAAAAATAAAAATGTAGAGAAGGTACGTTTGCAATTTCAAATAAAGTAATATTTATGTGCTTTTTACTTTATGAATAGTATGCAAATTTATTCATTTTGGTTATTTTTCTCTAGTTCATACTTAGGTAAGAGCTCGTCTCAACCTCTGTAGGAGTTCATTTTCCAAGGAAATAATGTTTCTTCCAGGCTGGAAATGTTGTTCGTTCATGTGAATGTTTTTTCACTTTTTTCTTAATATTTGGAAAATAGCATAAATGTTTAATTTTTCTGATGCAACAGCAGACTTTAAATAGCTCAAAAAATGATTATCTATCAATAGTATACAAACCTAAGTACATAACATTTTTAATCTCACCCCTTTTTTCTGGTTCTAAATCTTTTATGTCTAAAAAAGCAAAGCCAATATTATCTGCTAAATGCATTTTTGAAGAAAAATAATATCTTTTAAAAAACTGTCATTTCCTTTCATTTGCTGTATTGCAACAGAATGAAGGGAAGGCCAGTGTTGGCAAGTTATGATGTTTTTGTGAATATTTTAAAGTTTTTAAATGAAACCGCATCCCTGTTTGGTTTTTTGTGTTGTTTTCATAAGGAAGCAGTGAAAGTTGTAGGATGCTGATTCCTAGCAGCAGAGGTCATGGGATGTTAGTGGTCAGTTCCAACTGAATCTAGTAAGGTCACTCTCTTTGGGTCGCTCCTCTGTCTTAGGATTGAGAAGTCAAAGTGAGGTAGCAATGTGAAGAAGAAGTCAGCCAGAGCAAGCATCCTCCAGTTAAACAGAGATAAAGATAGCCCAATGAATGCACAACTTACTGCTTTCATGGAATTACTTGTCACCTATTTTTAGCAGGCCAGAGAAGAAACCACTTCATGTCTTTTGGTCTCTTTTTCTCATGATACATACCAATGCAAATGTCTCCTCTTCTGCTAGGCAGCACTGTAAACAAAAGCATATTTTACAAACCTGTTCAAATGGCAGAAATGGCTGGAGCCTGTCTTTTTCAGATACTGTGAGGTCACGATGTTTTCTTACTGGTATTTAACAAGAAAACTATTTTTTAATGGAATTTTTATTTTTCTTATTTCACTCTTTTAAGTCTCCTGGTTTTCTCATGGCCACTAAGATGTTTTAGAGACACTGAGAGATCCTTTGTTCTGGTTTTATCTTTTATAATCAAGATTGCCACATACTATACAGAAACTATTTGGTGTTCCAATCTCAGGGAAAGAGTCTGGCTATTTTTTGTTATCAGCACTGCAAACATTTCTTAAGGTTGCTGCTTTTCATATCTCCACAACAGTGCTGCAGTGAGTAACTGCAGTAGCCAAAACAGATGAATGTTGATGAAATTAGAGGTATTTGTTGATAGTAACATTAATGGCCAAATTAAAGTCAAATGAGAACTGATGATAGTAGCTGTTTTAAAATTATAAACAGTAAACCCCACCAGTTTTGGCTAAGATGAGTGAAGCAAGCTACTCTAATTTACGTAAGTATCTGAGTTATAAGATCAAATGACAAAAAGTGACAATTCCTTTAGAACTGAGAGCTGGACAGTTGACAACTACAGCTCTATTAGCAATGATTATTAGTGATAATCTATGCTTGAATATAATGTCAGGATTTTAAAAGTTTGCTTCTAAAAATTGGTTAAACATCCACCCTGCCAGCTAATTTACCCTACTTATGTGCTCAAGAAACTTTTTGAAAACTATAGTCTACCCCATTTTTTAGTTATACATTTTTATTTAACAGAATTTAAATTAGTATTTATTCAATTGTCTTCTTATTTAAAACCATTATACCTAGAATACTTACGTTACGAGCATATCTGGTATTAAGGTAATAAAAAATATTAATGCTGAATGTGATTTTGCACTTATTTCTCTACTGCCACAACTCAGATGAGAGGCCAGATGGAGTCTCATCTGAAGGAGTTAGAGCATGTCGGCGATTCCTTGACGGCGGCCAAAAGGAGGCTTCACGATTGTCAGGAGAGTCTGCAGTGCTGCAAGGGGAAATGTGCAGACCAGGAACACACCATTAGGGAGCTTCAGGGCCAGGTGTCCAACAGTCCTGAGTTTTGCTAAATGCGTTTAAATAATGTTTTGGAATGATTTCACCAGTTGAGGGCACTCATGTCAGGGCTTGATTTTTAAATTCCCATCCGCTTGGTAAAGCGTCAACTTCATGCAGATACTATAATATTATTTTGCAAACTATTCTTTAAGTATTTTATGGCGAAAAATTGGTAATTAAAATTTCTGTTTTATTTATGCAAATCTATAGACATTTGAAGACATGGTAATAGAATGAAAGGAGAAAATTTATGCTTACATATATGTTCCTTGATGTCAGGATAAGGTAAATTATTGAAATTTACATTACAAAAATTAGAATTTAACTAGAATTGTATGTTAAGTTTTTGGGGATTTTTTCCAGTCCGTTTTTTTTTTTCTATTATACTTTTTATGCCATCAGATAGGGATCATGTAGCCATCTCCTACTTCAATGCCTAGCACATAGTAAGCACTCAATATTTTTTTAATTAATGAAATTTTTTTAAAGAAGCAGTTCAAGGATGGTGACAAGTCTTTTTTCTTTTACTTTCAAGACAGTTTTAGGAAGCATTCCTTGTCTATCTTCCAAATATAATCTGGATTTTAATTTTGCAGAAAGCCAATTACTGCATTTTCTCACTTAATAAGTGGGAGCCAAATGATGAGAATGCATGGACACAGAGAGAGGAACAACACACAGTGGGGCCTTTCAGAGGGTGGAGAGTGGGAGGAGGTAGAGGATCAGGAAAAATAAGGAATGGGTACTAGGCTTAATACCTGGGCGATGAAATAATCTGTACAGCAAACCCCCATGACACAAGTTGACCTATGTAACAAACCTGCATTTGTACCCCTAAACTTAAAAGCTACAAAAAGATAAAAATATGCAGACAAAATTTTAGAGTTTAAATTCCTGAGAAGAGATTTTTCTAGGAAAACATCAAATGGCATAGATTAGCCTAAATTACTAATTGAAATTATGAGAATTTTTTTCTCTTAAATCAAAGCTTCTTACATTATTTAAAACAGATTTTGAAGCAGTGAAAAAAATATTCTGTCTTTGCATGGGTGAGTGTGACTTTGGTTGATTTATTTCATTTTGCTTTTCACAAAAATATATTTTCACTTGCAGTTTCAACTTCACGGATATTCCATTATTAATCAGTATTTTTAGGTGAAACACAAAACCGTAAGAGAAAGCCTATGTATACAATAGGAGATTAATACCACTTAAAATTTTCATGTTTCAACTTAACAAAATGAATGTCCTTCTTTAATAAGGTTCAAATGTTTTAATTGCCATCAAAAATGTTTTTTACTTACAGTTTCAACTTCACAGATATTCAATTATTAATCAATATTTTTAGGTGAAACAGAAAACCATAAGAGAAACCCTAGGTATCCAACAATAGGAAATAATACTGCTTAAAATTTTTCATATTTCAACTTAATAAATGTCCTTTAATAAGGTTCAGATATTTTGATTGCCTTCACAATGTTTTAATTGCCATCATCCTGAATTTTTTTCAGTTGATTATTTTCCAACACAGGCAACATAGCTTCTTTAAATTTAACCAGGAATTTAAAACTTCCATTTTAACAATATAACATGTTCCTGGTGTCTTTCTGTGTAAGAGTAGTAACATTTATACCTTGTTGCTTGTGGTGGTTCTAACAATAAATTATGTGGATTTCTTTGGAAGTTCACTGTGAAGAAAATGACTAAGAAAAGGGTTTTTTTTTTTTTTTTTTTTTTTTTAGGTTGATGGAAATCACAATCTTCTGATGAAGCTTTCTCTGGAAGAGGAAAACTATCTTATTCAGCTGAAGTGTGAAAACCTCCAACAGTAAGTATTAAATTATTTAACATTGGTGCTGCATATTTATCTGCACACTAAAATTTTAAAATATATATTTTCTGTGAAAAGAAAATTAGAACAGATGGATGCAGAAAATAAAGAGCTTGAGAAGAAGCTGGCAAACCAAGAAGAATGTCTTAAGCACAGCCATCTTAAGTTTAAAGAGAAATCTGCAGAATATACAGCATTGGCCAGACAACTGGAAGCTGCTTTAGAAGAAGGAAGACAAAAGGTATACATGACTTTTATTTAGAAACTTTTAAATTCATTTACCAAAGAGTCATCTTTTTAAACATCTTGCCAAACCTATAGTTACTGTTTTTTTCCTGATGATAGGGTTAAGGAAGAAACTACATTTTTATTCTTTAACTATCTTCCCTTTCAAGCAAAACAGATATATTACTGGGCTAGAGTTACTTCACTAGATAAATGGTAATGTGGCTGGGGAAAGGGCAGAGATGGAAGACACTTTGAAGACATAATCTCCTCCTATACCTTTTTTATATACTACCAAATTGAATGTGAAAATAATTGAAAATTCTATTTTTGATCAGGATTCAGTGAGCTGTAAAGTTCAAGTCCCTTTTGACAAATATTGTGGCATAAATAAATACATACAATATTAAATTTCAGTTACAGCCATTAGGTTAGCATTCAATGAATACTTCAGTATCAGGCACTCTGCTAGTGCTTGGGATACAAAGATTGAATAAGACCTGGCCTTAGCTCTCAGAACTCTCATAGTCTGGTAGGGTTCAGCCCAATTGCATTTTGGAAATGCCAGGTGTTCTCTCAGATTCCTTCCCAAAGAGTTTAGAGCCCCAGAGGTATGTCTGTCCTCCCCTTTCTCTCCTGCTGTAGTGGAATATGGGGCTATCTGTAGTTTCTGCCCATGTGAGAGAGCAATTACTGCGCTGTTACCATTGTCCACACTGAGGGATGGTGCCAAGGGCATCGAAGTTTGTCCTAAGTGCCCTTTCTCCCATAAGCTTCAGATCACATTGTCATCTCTTATGCATAATTGCACTTGGAATATATGCAGAAGAAATCTTTATAATAACTTAGAACGGAGTTGATAGGAATTAAATTTTAGAGGACTGTCTTTTCCACTAAATCCTTGTTTCTGGACCAATCCCTGCCTCTACTCTCATTCTTGTGGCTCCAACCCAGCATTCTTACAAATAGCCTTCCACATATCTGATTGCTTGGATGACCATAACTAAGCTAGACTTTATGCTAAAATAAGTAGTCAGATAAATATGAAAATTCAAATTCAGACCAGTTTGGAAGTGAATGAATGAAGAACCACTCTCTGTGTTTGTTTGTGTGTATTTGTAGGAAGTGTGTATACCAATTCCCACTCCCAATTCTATTAATCCAAATGTATAATGAGCATTTAGTGAGAAATTTCTATGTTCCATCACTGCTCTTAACACCCTGGTGAGTATAAATGCTATAAAAATGGTAATTGGTCTCAGTCTGTTTTTAAAATACACTGTTGGGGAAAACACCTTCCTAAGTCATAGGGCAGTGAAAATATATACATCTCTTCCATCTCAAGCCAATTTTGCAGATATGTCATCCTGCAAAGATAAGTATAGTATATACTTACACTATATGTGCTTCTTCAAGATAAAACTTAAATTTGGATATAATATACAAGTAGTATCTATTTAGAAAAAAGAGGTACAATATAACTATGTCAAGGCTTTAAATCATATTTTAATGAAAGCACTTTAGTTATTTTACTCTTGATAAAAATTACAGGTTGCTGAAGAAATAGAGAAAATGTCATCTAGAGAGAGGGCTTTACAAATTAAAATAGTAGATCTGGAAAATGAGCTTAGAAAGAAAAATGAAGAACAAAATCAACTTGTTTGCAAAATGAACAGTGTAAGTATTAGTATGGTTTAACATATTACATAAAAAATAAATTAGCATTTAACATTCTTACCATGTAGATTAAAGTACAAAGTGAGTGAATCAAGGCTATCGCTTTACTGATAATATTTTAAAAAGTAATGTAAAACTTAAAAAATAAAAATATTATGCCAAATAATGTATTATTCTGCCTCCTTGAATGGCATGTATTGGATTGCCCTCAAATCTCATCAAATCTCATCAGGCTCTTTTCCTACATATTACTTTTGCAATGACAGGCACTTAATGAAAATTATAGATATAATCTTCATTTCATCATGATATGAATTTTTCATTTTTTAAAGATAAACACAATTTAAACTATTATGTGAGTTTTACATTTGTCTTGAATAATGAATATTTTATTTTAGAAAGTTACAATTTTGTGTTAAATATTCAGTATTATTAGATCTATATATGAGATGGATGCTTTAGTCCACTCAGCCATGAAATGAAAATACCAAATTGACTGTGTTTAATTCACCTTGTTTTTTTCCTGAGTACTCATGAAATAGTCAATTGGCATAGAATATTCTGATAGCTAGCATTAGTCATGATTAAACTACCTAATAATTATCTATTAATGACATACAGAATAGATACTGTATTTTTTCCAGGATCCAGAGACTCCATAAAATTTACTGTTTAATTCCCAAGTATCTAAAAAGTTGAAAACCCAAAAGATTCAAAGGTTAAGTGATTTTTGGCATGCACAATTTGATTTTATTGCCATCAAAAGTTTCATGACAACTTAATCAGAACAAAACGTCCATCACCTTTAATTTAGCACAGACCTTCCATTTATATCTAGATTTTTTAAACTCACCATTAGAGTTTCTAATATTGTAAAATATGTCTGCTGTTTTTTGTGTAATTGAAGCCTCTGAAAAAATAAATGAAGTGGGTTTTGCTATAAGGTCCCTAGTACTTGTCTAAAGCTGCTAAAATAAATGGATTTAAGATCTGATGTTTTGTTGAACCTGATAATTTTTTTTTTCTTTTTTTGAGACCATGTCTCGCACTGTTGCCTGGGCTGGAGTACAGTGGCACAATCTCAGTTCACTGCAACCTCTGCCTCCTGGGTTCAAGAGATTCTCCTGCCTCAGCCTCCTGAGTAGCTGAGATTACAGGCAGGCACCTGCCACCACGCCCAGCTTATGTTTTGTATTTTTAGTTGAGATGGGGTTTCACCATGTTGGCCAGGCTGGTGTTGAACTCCGGACCTCGTGATTTGCTCTCCTTGGCCTCCCAAAGTGCTGGGATTACAGGCATTAGCCACCACGCCTGGCCAAGCCTGATAATTTTTGCACTAGTAAAATTCTAGAATTCTAAGCATAGATTTAAACATTGCTGAAAAATGAGTTTGTGTATTTTGTGCCTTCCAGGGGACAGTTCACTGGGCAATATTTACTTAATATGCCTGCTTCAGCCCCATTTGAATTGTAAACACCCTGAGAGCCTGTCTTATAATTGCCTATATCCCTGGTATCTCCCACAGAGCCCTGCTTACCTGCAGGCCTTTTTGTATTTTCTGTCCAAGTACCCTAATGGGGTGGCACAGGATAGGTGTACAGATCTGAGGATGACCTCAGCACCTTAATCCAAGGCACCCCTTCTGAAGCCTGAAATGTCTTTGAAGTCTTATGTTTTACCCTAAAATCCATTGACATTTTACATTCTACCCTACAAAATAAGTGTGTGTTACTATTTGTCTTTAGAAATTGTTGAGTAAAACTGATGTTCCATAAAGATTCACTATATTCATCCTGTGACTTTGTAGAGCCCAGTCTAGGACATTATTTTGTTCCCACCTCATTTCCTGAGCTGGGCATTGCTCAGTTTCAGAAGGTATCAGGTGTCGTTGAACATCTGATATGAAGGATGTAAAAGTTCTCTCTTATCTATCTAGGTGTCTATATTTTCACTGGAAGCTAGATGATATTTGCAACCTGTATTTATCTAAAGCATTGTCAGTGAACTTACCTACTCAGGAATTCAAATGCACCTTAGTTAAAAAGTATCAGGGTTTTAAATTTTTTCCTCAAAAAACAACTGTAATATGAAGAATTCTTTTTGTTTTTTAAGGGATTCTAAAAATAAAATGTTGACATTATCAAAACTAAAATTCTTTAAGTTTTTAAGACATTTAATTCTTTTGGCATAAAATTTGAACTTTTAGACAGAAAATGGCAAAAATATGAAAATATATCATGTTAAATGACATAGAAATTATGACAGTTTAAAGAACCTGTTTATTAAGTTAATCATGTTAAATATGTAATAATTTGGGGCTAAATGAATGTGTGTTATAAATTAATATCAGTGGAGATAAACTATGTGTGTCCTTTGATTATTTTAAAGAAGAGTGAGCTCTAAGTTAAGAATGAGCACATCAGATGTGAGTATTCTTTCTTTTAAAAAATTAAAAAGAATTATCTAGTCACTGTATATATATATTTAATATTATGACTCTGGTCCTTTGAAATGAATGCCATTATTGCTTATTTGTATTTTTTTCCTTTTTCCTTTAGAGAGCACAACATCAGGAAGTGTGTTTGAAAGAAATACAAAATAGTCTTGAGAAGTCAGAAAATCAAAATGAGAGTATTAAGAATTATTTACAGTTTCTTAAAACTTCTTATGTAACAATGTTTGAATAAATTGTCAAATTTATTTTCTTTAAGTAGATTTTTATTGAGTCTAAAATGTGATTAGGTAAAAAAATATATATACTACCAGTTTTTATATTTTATGATTTATGGGTGATGGAATTAGAGTTTTTATGTAAAGATTTTTGAAACATAATTTATCTAACTGAAACATTAAAATAGGATAGTTATTACTATTCCTTTTTTGCTGGATAATTCTTATTTATCTCTGGTTTAATTTCTTTTTAAATTATATTGGTTTTTAGAGGATTTTTTTTCACACACACACACAGAAGTCAGATTTTTTGTGATGTCTGTAGACACCATTCAAGTGAATTTGTAGTAAATCTTCGTCAATATGATTTTAAATAATATATATAATTATTTTATATTGTAGTGATATATAAATATAATGGAAAATATTCTGAATTTTAATTTTTAATAATGGTGTAATTATATACTTTCTAAAGATACTAAATGTCTCAATATACTAAATATTGTTTCAAGTATATGCTGATTTGTTAGGTTTTAAGTATACAATTTTAAGTCATAGCTATTAAATACCAACTGCTAATGACACATGAAAACGTTATGCATTGTTTCTTTATAAAGAACGGACATTCAGGTTGTCTTTTGAATTCGTAGTCTATTTTATTCATCTTATACTAATGATTATCAGATATTATTATTATTTTAGACATTCTAAAGCCCCTTAGTTAACTAAAAGATTAAAGGAGAACAGCTTATCCCACCTTTTCCGTGGCCGACTCACATGGGGATGATCAAAATAAGCACTCTTAACATCAAGAAGCTTTAAAATAAGGTCTTTACTATTGGGATGAAGTTGTCCAGGTTGACAAAAAACTTGTTTGCTGTAATCTCCCGCCTTGTGTGCCAAGGTAGGATACTCTAAAAGGGAATGGACATGGTTTATAAAGGATCAAGTGATAGTGACTCCTCTTGGACAATGACTTGAGAGCTGTTAATTCAAAGGAACACTCAGGTCTTAAAAGATCACTAAAAGAGGCACGTTGTAAACTACACAGTTCCAGCCTATGAATAGAAATATCTTTTTAAAATGTTTTATGCTCTTTTCTGATCAGAGATGGGGGCCTGGTCCCCACTGGTCCCCTCACTCGTAAGACTGTCATATCATCCACAAATGCTTACTTACTAGTGACCCAATTGCTTCATAGTATTTTTCTTAAAATAGCAAAATACAGAGTGTCAGAACTGGCCACATTTTTTGCCCAACAGTTGCTAACAAGATTAGTGTCACTTTAAAAAAAAAATCATAGTACTCATGGTACTAAAAAACATACTTGACCCTGGCAGCCCTTTCTTTATCTCCTAAGGCAAAGGGAGCCTTAAGAAATGTCCACATGAAAGGAAAGCAAAGCTTTTGAGTTTTACTCACTAAGCTGTAAGCTCCTTTAGGGCTGAAATGTGTCTTAGTCATACTAGTATCTAGGTACTCAGTTGATGTTCATGGCTAGATGACAGATGTTGAAAGAAGTAGGTATTCATACTCCTGTTTTAGATATGAAAATTGTAAGCATAAAGGATTAACTACCATGGCTGTGGTATGAAACTTAAGTTTAAAGTTGGCATTTAAATTCAAGACTGCAACATTAAAGTTCTGTGTACAGTGCTGTTTTCCCAGTGCAGCAGCAGCCCAGCAGCAGCGCTGCTATGATCCATTAAGCACTTGCTATGTGCCAGAATTAATAATTGTGATAATGTATTAACTCATATTTTCAGGAAACTAAGACACGGAAAGGTTAGGTAACTTGCCCCAAATCACACAACTAGTAGTAAGTGGCAGACATCCAGAGTCTGCTTTGCTCTTAACTATCACCATACTACCTTTGTATCCATTTCATAAATATAGTGGTTTCTTTTAATAGTAATGCATTTGTCTTACCCATGAATAACTCCTTTCTCATATTTTTAATTTTTTACTGTTACCAAAGTAATTTGTGCTTATGGCATTTAAAAATTGGTGCCTGCAGCTTTAGGTAGGAAGACTGGAAGGAAAAAACTACCGTAAAGTTCCTAAGGTTGGTATTTGGCTCCTAGTGACACAACATGACAAAGGAAAGTTGCTGAATGCTAGAATAATTTAACAATCTCTGCTTAATACTGTTTGCACGTGAAGCATTAAGTACACACATTGGGCTCACCTGGTGTGTGACCTAAATTCAGTGTCAGCCAGGCCCTTGAGCGAGAAAGCCCATTTCCCTACTAAAAGATCTGCAGGATTTTCTTTTTTATCTTTGATATTCAGGGCCTCAAAACTTTCTAAGTTGTAAATGTTTTCTTCCATTATCTATGTTATTATTGCAAGGCTCTATAATCAGTTCAAACCCTGAGAGTGCGCCAACAAGCTACACGAGGCGGTGTGGAGCAACATGCTGTTATAATGAGCACCTGGGTGTAGACGGGCTGAGGTCTAAAATGGCGTCAGCTCCAAGTGAAGGTGAGGCAGGGGATTTATAGTCTCCTGTAAATGGTTAAGTATCCCAGTCTGACATACCTGCTACGTGGTACCTAGACGGCCTCTCTCTCGATCTGCAAAGGGTATTTGTCTTCTGGCCTACCCTCTTCTGGCTTCTGCCCTCTTGCTGTCGAATATTGCTGGCGTAAGTGTTCTTGCAGCTGGGGACCCAGCCTGAGGAGGGAGGAGTTATCCCCCCAAGCTTTCAGGCCCCAGGGATAATCTTTCATTCCTGTCTATTTGGTTATAGGAAAAGGGAAAAGGGACAACTTTCTCAGTAACTACTTTAGGTGTGACATAGGACGTGGCATGGGCATCTCAGAAAAAGGAAGAGAAACTTAATTTTGGGGGTATCCTTGAGAGACAGGCTGGTATCCATTGTGTCGTCGTAGCAGGATTGCCTGGCAGTTAACCATAGTTTCAACAAGAGTTTTAATGGCTTTTATTATCAATGAGATAACACAAGGGAGAAACAGGAGGAGCCCAACGATAGATTACTGTCCCTACCAGCATTTTAAATCCTTCTAAGTTAGAGAACCACCCTCCTAGAAGGTTTGTCAGGTCCCATCCCTTCCAGGTTTGGACTGGTACATGAGCTACTTGCCTGATGTTTGAAGCGATTTCTAGAACTGCTTTTCCATTGTTGTCTATGTTAAGACAACAGTTAGAGATACTAAACTCACCAACAGACCTCCCCCTCCTCTGCTAGTAAGTATAGTCTTGTGCTAGTTTATTTTGATAAATTGCCACACGTGTTTGGTTTTGTTGTTGCGCCAGCATTTCCAGGGCTGAGGTGATTTGGTTAGTGATTATCTCTACAACAGCCTGTAGTCTAATTATTCTATTTAGCATATATATCGGAGTGCAATAACCCCATGAACCATCCTCAGCCCAAGTGGCTGGACCATAATATTTGATGATCCTTTGCAGAGGCCACTCATCCTCTTGCCATCTTCGGTTTCCTCAGACCTTTAAGGATCGATTTTCTCTGTTTAGGTTATCATACACAGGGACTCCAAGGGTGACGCCCACGTGCTTTGGAAGTAAAAAGAATCCAGGTTGAATCGTGCTTAGGAAGCAAGTACCTTGCCAGTGATGAAGTAGCCATGAGCAAGCTGGGTTTCACATATGCAAAAGAATCCATCAGGGGCAATCCATTGCAGGCTGGTGTTCATAGGATTGTCCCATAATGCACTTAGGCAGGGGTATGTGGCCTAAGGGTTAGTGGTGTGTGTTTGTACAGCGCCAGGCCTCTTCTGACAAGACACAATTGAAGTAGCTTAAGTTAGAAGGATACCAGGGTCCTGGGGTAACTTTGGCCACCACTCTGCTGTGGAGGCATTGACTGTTAGGGTTTAATGACAGGGGTTTTCATCTACGGTGCGATGGGTTTTATTAGTCCACTTGTGGGATATGCATACCATCCCTCTTACTTGGTTGGTGAGTGTCCAGGACTTCGGGTGTTCCTGAGGAGTGAAAGTGAGGCTAGAATTTTGGGATTCTAGTAAGTAAGGGGGAATGTCTACCCCATACCACGGCCACTGTTCACTCATACAAGCTCCCCCACATACCCAGCAATTGGACATGTTCATGGTAAGCATGACATGTTCTCCTAGATCATTTTTTTTTCCTGGCTTGCAAAGGGATGTGTCTGCTTGTAGTTTTGTATAAAGGGATGGAAACACTATGGGTGATGTTGGGGGGAGTTGTTGGTTTTGGCTTTTGCTTTGGCTATAATCTGTTGTCTCTTTATGTCTTCTAGCACTTGAGTGTTTACTCCCCATTGTCCAATTTTAGTGAAGCAAAGCCACTGCTTACCTTTCGGACATAAAGCCCCATTACGACTACCAGACATTCCTAGATTTTTTTACTTTATAATAACTTTTCCCTGATTCACCACATTCCTTGACTAAAGTTCCATAGTAGGCTTTTTCCCTATGAGTATGGTAAGTACAGGATTATTGCATTTTCCCTCCATAGTGGAAAGACTGATAATACTCATGCAGCTTGGAGGGGCCACTGTGCAGCTATGGACAATTTTAGGATTTTGGTGAGGGATATTTCTGTATTAAGAATTTTGGTTGGATCCCAGCACTTTGGGAGGCTGAGGCGGCAGATCACCTGTGGTTAGGAGTTCAAAACTAGCCTGGGCAAAACGGCAAAACCCCGTCTCCACTAAAATACAAAAAATTAGCTGAGCATGGTGGTGGACACCTGTAATCCTAGCTACTCGGGAGGCTGAGACAGGAGAATCACTTGAACCCAGGAGGCGGAGGTTGCAGTGAGCCTAGATTATGCCACTAAACTCCAGCCTGGGCAACAGAACAAGACTCTCCATCTCAAAAAAAAAAAAAAAATTTGGTTTGAAGTGAGGCACAGCAAGTGGTTGGGGCAATCAATGCAGGTCATTTCTGAAAGCAGGTGATTAGTCTTCCTCATGTTTAGACTTTCCAGGGAGTTTTGGTCCTTAAGAAAATTTTTGGTTAATTTAAGCTTGGTAGGAGAAATTGGCCTGGATGACCACTTAACTGTTGATGTTCTGGAGGAAGAAGTAGCCTTGGGGATGAGCTTAACCCTGGTGCAATGGATCCAGTGGGGAGTCCTTGGACTCTCCCTGCAGTTGGCATGCTGAGTATAACAGTGTAGGGGCCTGTCCACTTCGGTTGTAGCTTTTTGTGAGGGTCAGGTTGGCAGATAAACATGTCTGTGCCTGCAAGACAGTTATGATGAGAGGACAAGGAGATGTCAACAGGGAGAGACGTGGCCTCATTTCCTGCTTCACAAATGAAAGACCATGTCTGGATTAGGGAGGGGAGGTAATTCCCGAGTGGCTCAGAGTCTGGTAAGGGTGGAGGCCTTAAGACAAAAGTTCAGCCATACGTGATTTCAAAGGGACTATAAAAAGAAGGTGCTTTTGGTGTCGTGTGGAGTCTCATGAGTGTGAAGGGAAGACTTTTTGTCTACGACTGCAGGTTTCTAGAGCCAGCTTGGTAAGTTGGGCTTTTAAGGACTGACTTGACTTTTTCAACTTTGCCTGAAGATTGAGGCCTGCAGGGTTGTGTGGAGAACCCATTTTATTCCTAAGGATGTAGAGACACCTTGGGTAATTTGGCTGATAAAGGCGGGCCTGTTATTGGACTGGATGGATGTTGGGAGTCTGAAACAGGGAATTATATGCATGATGAGAGTTTGCATGACGATATTTGCACCTTCTGAAGTTGTTGGGAATGCTTTTACCCACCTGGAGAAAGTGCCGATAGCAGAGCTGTGTATTGGGCGGCATATGAGTGAAGTCTACTTGCCAAATCTTACCTGGGTACCTGGCCCCGGGCTTGGTGGATAGGAGAAGGTGGTAGCCAGAGGGAGCTCTGGGGTGACACTGAGTAGCAGATAGAGCAGGATTGGGTAATCTCTTGAACACGACTAGAAAGGTGAGGACAAGTGAGAACAGGGTGGAGAAGTTGCAAGAGAAGTTTGTACTGACATGGAAATAGTTTTAGAGGCTTTGGAAGATGGGGATTGTTTGAGAGTGAGGAAGAATGAAGTGCACTTCCTTGCCATACCATTGTCTTTGCGTTTGAAAGGTTTGGGCTTGGCAGTCCTCCTTTTCTTCTAAGGAATAAAGAGTAGAGAACGAGGACAGGGACAGAAACTGGCCTTGCACAGGTTATAAGCCTACTTGTTTGGCTACCTGATCTGCTAGAGCATTTTTGGGTGATATAGGACTGTCTGGTGTTTGGTGGCCCCTGCAATGAATGCTGGCAACTTTCGGTGGCAGTCTGGCAGCTAGAAAGAGTTTACTGATGAGAGTGTCATTTATGACAGAAGTGTTTTTTGCAGTTTGCAAACCCCATTCTTTCCAGATGGAATAGTGTGAGTACACTATGTGAAGAATCTAATATATGTTAATCTGTTGTCTGGCTGCTAGAGCGAGAGCTGAGTGAGAGCAATGAGCTCCACCTTCTGGGAGGTGGTGCCTAGGGGGAACGGATTGGCTTCAATAGTGTGGGGGTGACACTATAGTATAGCCAGCATGTTGGCATCCTTGATATAGGAAGGAGTTGCCATCTACCAACCAAGTAAAGGAGGCATCTGGAAGGGGTTGGTCTGTTAGGTTTGGAAAGTGTATAAGAAAGGTTTGAACAATGTTTACACAGAAATGTGCAGGGTCTTGTGCAGTAGTAGCTTCAGGTAAGAGTGTGGCTGGGTTTAGAGGGGAGCTGGTTAGCACGGCGATTTGGGGAGTTTCTATGAATAAAACATACATTTGGAGGAGAGGTAAGACTTAGTGCACTGTGGTGAGCTAACGTGTCTTTGATGTTATGGGTTGAATAAACTGTTAACGTTGGCATGAAGAGATAGTTTTAGGCTTTCAAGGGTGAGGATAGGCTTTCAAAGGTGAGGACA